GCCTTTGAACAAATTAAACAGGAAATAGTCCGTGCAGTAGCCCTTGGGCCAGTCCAGGCAGGAGCAGATGTAAAGACCGTGCTCTACACTGTAGCCGGGGAGAATGGCCCTAGCTGGAGTCCCTGGCAGAAAGTACCAGGGAAGACTTGAGGTTGGGAATACTGAGGATCCAAGGCCGCTACGCTCCAACTGGCAGCACGTGAAGGGGTTCAAGCTGCTTTGGAAGTGATTGGTGCTGAAGCACAGCTCCTCCTGGCACCCCACCTGCCGGTGCTGGGCTGGAGGTTCAAAGGGAGGGTCGCCTCTACACACCACACAATGGATGCTACGTGGAGTAAGCGTGTCGCACTGATCACGCAGCGGGCTCCAATAGGAGACCCCGGTCATCCAGGAATCTTGGAAGTGATCACGGACTGGGCAGAAGGCAAAGATTTCGGAGTATCGCCAGAGGAGGAGGTGACACGTGCTGAAGGGGCCCCGCTGCATGATAAACTGCCAGACAATGAGAAGCAATGTGTCCTGTTCACTGACGGGTCCTGTCGCATCATGGGAAAGCATCAGAGGTGGAAGGCTGCCCTATGGAGTCCTGCATGACAAGTCGCAGAAGCTGCTGAAGGAGAAGGTGAATCAAGCCAGTTTGCAGAGGTGAAAGCCATCCAGCTGGCTTTAGACATTGCTGAATGAGAAAAGCCACCCATCTGTGGCATTGCTTTTGCTCGAGGACCTGAGTGTGCTTGGTGGGTGATGCAGAAAGATGAGGAAGTAATTTTGGGTGAGAATAGGCAATAAATTAAATTGTATGATGTGAATTGTTAATAATAATGCATGCCATCTCTACTTTGACTGCTGAATGCCATAATAGGAGTATTACAGTAAGAATCACCCAGATTATGATGCAAATGTGCAAGGTGCAGTGATGATGAAACCAGAACTGGCTACAGCAACAAGCGCCCATCAGCTTCCTTGAGAGTGACACCTTTAACCTGCAGGCCATGAGACTGGACCATGCCAGATACGCCAGCCATGAGCTCCGGATGCAGCATGGAACAATCCAACAGTACACACCATTGCTCCTGCCCTGAGAGACTGTTGCGGCAGATGAAGCCCAAAGTCATGGATTAAATGAACTCAATGAACATTTTTGAGGGATTTAGAAGGAAGGCCATAGACTAAGGGAGTGATACCTGCATGTACAGTAAAAAGACTGTACTGTCAAAAGACAGGAAAAGTGATGGTGATTAATTGGAATGTATTGGGAAGTATAAGAGCTGGGCATGACATAGATGGTATGGAATAAGGCGTGGATACTGTCCTGGTTTCAACTTAAGAGTTAATATTCTTTCTAGTAGCTGGTATAGTGCGGTGTTTCAGATTTAGTATGAGAATAATGTTGATAACACACTGATGCTTTTAGTTGTTGCTACGTAGTTCTAGTGCCTACACTAAGTCAAGGACCTTTCAGCTTCTCACGCCTTGCTAGGTGCACGAGAAACTGGGAGGGGACACAGCCAGGACAGCTGACCGAGATTGGCCAAAGGGATATTCCCTAATATATAGCGTCATGCTTCATATATAACTGGGGAAGCGAGTTGGGCAGTAGAGTCACTGCTCGGAAACAGACTGGGCATCAGGTTGTTTTATTTGCCTTTTGCATGTGGTGAGCAATTGCATTTGTGCATCACTTGTATTATTAGTAGTAGTATTAGTATTATTTTCTCTTCCTTTGTTACACTATTAAACTGTCTTTATCTCAAGCCATGAGTTTGTTTTCCCATTCCCCTCCCCATCCCCTTGAGGGGGGAGGAGTGAGCGAGTCGCTGCGTGGTGCTTAACTGCCGGCTGGGGCTAAACCACGACAATGAGAAAAAAAATACTTCTTAGCTGCATAATGCTTCTGTAACTCATACTTCCAAATTTCTTCCAGAGTTACTACACTTAACCTGGAAGATATCTAGTTTAGGCATAAAGAGGGTAAATTAGAAAATAACTGTTTCAAAAGATATCAGTGACTTGCTTTCCATGTTATTGATTCATGGGGGTTTTTTTCCTCATTATATAACATGAACAAAAGCTTTAGAGCAAACTGTTCCAGCTGTCTTCTCCTGAAAAGGAAGCATGGAAAACTAGCACTTTAAAAACCTTTTTTTATAAATTCTTTTCTTCTAAAGGCCGTGCTCCTAAAATCACCATGCCACCACCACCTCAGAACAAGAATGATGACTTCAGTGATGACTTCATTCATTCAGTGAAGACTTCATTGCAGACAGATAAAACAACTTTCACACCTGAAATAAAAAACACCACAGTGACTCCAAGTGTAACCAAAGGTATGCACAGTTAAGCAATAGGAGTGTTTGGGAACTCCTTACTGTACTTTGGCATATATTAAGTGTAAATTTTCTCAAGATTTAATATATTATTGCAAATTATCAATATTTTTAATATTTACCAGTTATTAAATGTATATGATAAAATTATATGATAAAAAATGTACAGTTGCATACCGCATGCAGAAACAAAACCAGTCTTCCAAGTCTCTGTAAGTTCTGTCTTTCAAAACTTGCTTAAATGGAGTTCAGCTTTCAATTACGGAACAGAGTTTGGCAGAAGGAGAAAGCTGCAACTTGGACCTCCCCTTCAGAATTAATCAGATGTAACTACCTTGTTATTTAATTTGATAATTTCTTAGGACAAAACACTTTTGACATAGCTAATCTTTTATGGACCAGTCATGTTGGCATGAAATTTGAAAAAAACCCATCATTTGGCATCATCATTTTGTTTATCAAAGAAAATTGTCAGAAAAGGGAGCAAGATCACTGCAGATACAGGCATTGGTGAAGTGTCCTTTGGATGGCAGGGGCAGGATGGCCTCCTGTCACATGCAGACCCAGTGTAGGCTGATTGTGATTAACTGTTAAGGTACTGTAGTATTTTCTTCTTATAGGAGGTTCACATATCATACTTGTGTATTCCCGGGCTCTTTTGATTTTTCCTGCTAATAATAAAATGCATTGTTCTAACAGAAAACTTAGATGAAAACAAATCTTTTGATTTAGATTAAAAACCTTGCAAAAATACCTGCTGTGAATATATGTAGAAGAGCTAGATGGTAATGGCTGTTTACAGTGTGGGAGCATCCAGCAGAGCAGCTTAGCTGGGGGATCAGGTGTGATAGACACTATAGATGAAAACTATGTGCTTTACCCAAGTCATTTTCAAACTACAAACTGCTTGATGAGAGGCTCTTCTGTCTGACACCACTTAATTTAATGGCTTTCAGATGTGGCATTGACAGCAGTTCTGGTTCCAGTGCTGGTGATGGTCTTCACTACTCTGATTCTTATCTTAGTTTGTGCGTGGCATTGGAGAAACCGGTAAATGAATAGATTAATGAAAGTACTTTAAATGAATGTTAGCCTGGTGTGTGGGAAGGGAATGCTGCATGTATTGCTATGGGAACTACATGGTCCACATTTGCGGAATTTTCGGAGTTGTATTCTCTGTGAGACAATGTTGACTTGAATAGCGAGCACAGTGAAAACAGCTTTTTGTAACTATTTTCATTAGAAGTGCTTTTACTGAAAACTGGTTTCTCCAGTAGCAGTAGACTGGTGATGGCAAGCCAGGTTACTGGTGCTTTTACTTTGAATTTGAGGACCAGTTACAGTCAAGGTGGTAGTTGCTGAGCATTAATGCATCTTCTGATAAACAGACTACCTAAAATACCTTTTTTTGTTTTGTTTCTTTTTTTACAGCAAGAAAAAAACTGAGGGCACTTACGATCTACCTTACTGGGATCGTGCAGGTAACAAAATGGTTTTATGAAATCCCTTACTTGGCATTTTTGGTTTGATGTGTGTTTCAGATGCAGTAACATGGACGATTTCCACTAGCAGAAGCTTCTCTAATGCTGATGTAGGCATAGTGAACACTGAATTTCTTTTCTGGACAGACTTAATTGCTTCATTCTCTGAATTATTTTCAGAAATAGAAAATGCCTTGTTTCCTGTTAGCTGTTACAGCTCCAGTTTTTGGTTGTTTTTTTTTAGTAAAGTATAAAACCTCTTAATTATACAACATGGGGGGGGAATAATTTATGAGGAAACAAATACATTTGATGATAATCAAATATTTGGTACTTCTTTTGTCCTAGAAAAATTGCTCATCCTAGTGTACAAGGTCACTCAATTTTGTGTCTCTTCATTGCTCTAGTAAGCATGTGGGATTCTTTGCAGCCCCTTTTAGGCACATTTTCGATCCTACGGTCTTGTGCCCCATTAACTTAAGATCAGACAGTCTGATCAGCGCATTGCAAGTGTCCTGAAAATGCTTCTGCTACAGAATAAAGGGCTGGTGCAGCAGCTGGTTTGTACTGTCAGTATGACCGTGCTTCGCTTCTCTGTCTTCATGTTGAAAATTTCCACCTGTGTGTTTGCTCACTGGCAGTTTTAAGTATGCCTTATCCTTTAGACAAGAAACCTTTTAACAACCTTATTTTTATTAACTGCCTGTCCATTTCCAGTAGGTCACAGCATGGTTGGCTTAGAATGTTAGATTCAAAATATTCTGTATTTAATGGTCAGTGATGGACATGCCTAGGTTTTTTTTTTCCTGTTTGCTTAAATTTAAACATTCAGTATGTAGATCTTTTTTAAAAGGAAGTTTTGCACAATGCAGTATGAAAATAATGTTGCTACACTTCTCTGTGGAACCTCTGCCTGTCCCCTCCCACAGGCTACCTCAGATTTTGTTAACAGTGTTCTGTGGTTTTGAATCTCCTACAGGATGGTCTCTTACAGTGGGGATGAAATATGTTAATGGGCAGCAAAACTAGAGTGGCTCTGGCTACTGGGGAAGGGAGGGCAGGAATGTGACAAAACCAACCCTCCCTACCACAGTCACTCCTTGTCATCTCCACTGACGTTAGAAATCCTCTTTATTCAGGTTTTTTGCAAATATTCACTGATCAGCCTTTTTCAGCAATGTGAGTTAGAAACATGACATTAACAGCCAGAAACCACATTCATTAAATGTACTCTTAGGTTATTAACTGAGGTTGTCTCAAATTTTGTGTAAATACTCGATTTACAAATTGGAATCATGGCTGACTTCTCAGTATTTTCTGTGTTGTATTTTTTGAGTTTATTAATGTGATAAGTAGCCCCAGCGCTGCTGCTAATGGACATTCAGGGATAGAGTCACTAGACTGCAGAAGTTCTGCTGGTGTTTGAAGGGGGGGAGAAGTCAGGGGAGTTGATTGGGTGAATCTTCTGTTTCTGAATCTTCAGTCTGCCAGAAAATACTAAAACATCTTGTAACCTTAGGGTCATGCAAATACTGATAATTGAGGTGTTTACCTGCTACTACAAAATACAAGCTGTGGTGTAAAAATATTTTAGTAGCTTAAACCCCGGTATATGTGCAGTCTTAGGAAGTGTGTGTTTGTTTTTAAATCCATGTGAAGGGTGGTGGAAAGGAATGAAGCAGTTTCTCCCAACAAAATCAGCAGAACATGAAGAAACTCCTGTACGCTACAGCAGCAGTGAAATTGGTCACCTAAGACCAAGAGAAGTCCCAACAATGCTGCAAACAGAGTCTGCAGGTACATTTTATTGGTTTTGAGGGCTATGTAATATATATAATATGGATTTAAAATGTCAGGAATTTGGCTACATTTAATTATTTCCTGTTTGTTTTGGGGAAGAGAGGAGAAAAGAATAGTTCTGTTGGTAAGTGCATTTCTTAAAATCCAAGCTTCTTCAGATCTGTTCTTGGTGCATCATAAAAGTATGTTGACTTGATGTGCTGTGGATAGACACTTTTCCCAAGCTAATGCAATAACTGAAAGTGTCTTCACTTGTACTTGTTGTTAAACCCCATAAAGGGTTGAAAGATTTTTTTTTTGTTTATGTTTTCATGCACTAAAAATAACTTCATCCCATTACCTTTACGCACAAATGTGAAATGTGTACTTGGTTCCCTAAACTGATAGTATGGATTAAATCATTGTTTTGATTTAGAAAAGGAGGTGTTACTGATAGCGGCATATGCCCTTTCCTTGGTGAACCAGTCATTAGAGGAAGATGACTGACTGTGCCTTTGGTTCTGTGCTTACATGCTGATGGCAGAAATATGCAAACGCGCAGGAATTACAGCTTCACAACAGGAAGAATTACTTACCTCTTTTTGGCTGCTTGCTTGTTTTTACCCAGCTAGCTAGGTTTCTCACCTCTGGCTTTTGTAACTCAGATTATCTGTTGAACTAAATCATCTCAGCTGACCACCTGCAGGCTTCCCCCCTCAGATGACAAACCCTCCACCCCAAGGGCTGCTTTATCCAAAGCCAGGCTAGGATAATTTCATTTAATTCTAATTTTGCAGGGAAGCACATAAAAATAACTTTGTTTTGAGGCAGATTTACAGCATGGGAAGTCACAGCTCACAAGGGAAGAAGTATAAACCTGAGAAGTCAGGATGTTGTAGCTATCCCAATGGCTTTAACTATTGGGTGGAAATGACTTCTTTTTCCAAAGCAATGGCAGAGACAGACCACTGGTTTGATCTAAGATAATAATTCCTGTGTCACTATTGACAGGTGGTATTTAATGTGATGTCACTGTAAATGACTTCCATTAAGTGTGTTTTTATTTTTGTTTTGTTGGGGCTTGCGACACAGAGTACGCTCAGCCACTGGTAGGGGGAATTGTTGGCACACTTCATCAGAGATCAACCTTTAAGCCAGAGGAAGGGAAAGAAGCAAGTTACGCCGATTTGGACCCTTACAATTCACCCATACAAGAAGTTTACCATGCTTATGCTGAACCACTACCTATAACTGGACCAGAATATGCAACTCCAATAATCATGGACATGTCCAACCATCCCAGCACCCCTCTTGGCATTCCTTCCATTTCCACCTTCAAAGCTGCAGGGAATCAAGCTCCTCCACTGGTGGGAACTTACAATAAACTCTTATCTAGGACAGACAGTGCATCATCAGCACAGGTGCTGTATGACACACCAAAGGGGCAGCCGGGGCCAGGTGCCACTGATGAATTCGTGTACCAGGTACCACAGAGTGTGGCCCATTCTGCTGGGAGTAAGGATGAACTGAGTTAGCTCACGAGTAAGGTAGAATAATGGCTTGCTTTTTAAAAGCCACTTCCACGAAGCTGACAGTTTCATTTTTTAATCGCGTTGTTTTGATATTGTTAGTCTTAAATAATATGATGTTCAACCAAAAGATGTGGTATTGGTCTGGGAAACCAGTAATTCTGCCTTTCCTTAAGCTGTATGTGTAATTACAGCTTGTTTCCTGCAAAACTGTGGACGTTTTTATTACTACTGTACAATTGTCTGTCAGACATGAGAGAAGAACTGTTCAAGATTAGCTTCAGTAATTCATAGATGTGAATGCTAAATTGGGAGAAACAGTTTAAAGTATGAAAGCCAGTAATTTCTCGCTAATGGTACTATTTCTGGGCGGGGGGGGGGAACCAAACAACCTCCAAGCTCCTAACTTTCTAACATCTATATGTAAGCACTATAGCTTCTAAAATTAATTTTACACTCTATAAAATGCCTGCACAACTTTGGACTTTAAAAACTACTGTCAGGACTGATGGCAAAAATCCCATTCACTTCATGGCGTAAAATAGTTTTGATTCTAAATTGCATTATTTCAGCTTTTGTTCACAGCATTAGGAATCATCAGCTGTGTGTTCCTCAGAAGTTTCCCACCATTTTTGTTAGCCTTCCAGAACTAGAATCCATTGTCTGTACACTCTGTTTTCTGCCTCATCTCCCTAAGCCACTCAGTCCTGTTCTTCCTAGGGATCCAGGAGGCACAAAGTCATACAAGCAAACTACACAGTAACTACTTTTACATTTTTTCCCCCTACTAAGCGAAGGCTGCGCTGAATAGCGTCTGCCTCAAGGTCAGACTTCCCTGATGGTCAGTGTGCAAGAAGCATCCAGGTGTTGGAGGTGACTGAATTCAGAAAGGTTCTCCCTGTCCCCCTGCCCTGATTCCCCCCAGGGTATCTATTGTTGTGTGTTAAGATGTGAGCATATACAAAGCAAGCTATGTATATACCTTCATGAGTGCTTAAGGAAGCACACAAATATTCTCATGGCGCACAGTTTGTGTTATACATGCATTTAGCACATATGGTACATTTTAGCACAATTGAAAAACTTTAGCCTTAGGGCTTTTCTTGCAATTGTTCATATTAGAAGTATAAAAGATTCCAAAACCTTTGCAAGAGAACCAGTACTGTTCCAAAGCATGTCCATTTCAGAAGCATTTAATGAAAGTTGTATCCTTTGAATGTTCCAGTGTTCTCTGCTATGAAAACATTGCAGTCAGTCTTCTATTTGAGCTAACATAGGCTAGTTTTAGCTAGGTAATCATGAAATGAAAACAATTTGGATGTCATATTTGCCATTTTTTATATTGTTAGAAACAAAGCACAGCTTTTTAACCTAAGTAGGAGAAAAACCCCACAACAAAAATGCTTTATTTTTGTGATAACAGCACTGTTGGGAGGATGCTGAATTAATTTATACATGTGAAAGCCCCTACCGACACATTAGCCCAGTTTTACGGACTTCAGTGGTTACTGTTTGTTTCTGTGATGTAACTCATTTCAGCCTTGTTTATTGCCCGGGGTCCTTAGTCTAAGTAAGTGGAGAACATCCAAATCGAAACTAAAATACTGTTCAAGAGGGCTGCCACCATGTCTTTATACCAGTATGGTATCCTAATTTAACACTTAAAAAGTTGTTTGCACAGAGGCTATATATAAAACTCAATACTCCAGGCTTACTCATGGTCTGTTCAACATCTAGAATGTGTTCTTACATACTCTGTGCTACCTTAAAGCCCAACTCTACAATTTTTTGATCATTCAATCTCATTCGCTGAGAATTATAATTAATTATTTTTTTAGAATTGGGTATCTAAGCCTAAATGTGAATGTAAGTAAGGGTGGTATATAAGACCCATTCAAGAAAAAGAAATTCCTGCCTATAGTTCTATTGTTTTTTATTGCAACTGTTTCTGCTTGATAAAGCTAGTCTGCAACCTTTGTAGTTTTGCTTAAACAGGTAAGTGTTCTTATCCATCAGCAGCAACTATGACTTCAAAATTATCTGAGCTGATTTTATTTGAAAGGGGCAGGAGGTTATTTGTTTGCACCAAGACGTGACATATTTATTCCAGCCAAGTTAAGAAACCTCTGCATTCTCAAACTGTACCAGTTAAAAAATTAAATTAATCTATCATAAAAAGATATGGATGTGTTCAAGTCAGTAAAATTAACTCGCTTGGATTTAATTTTTTAGTGTAGGCCAGGTATGGTAGCACTGTGGATATACTGTAGGATAAGATGGGATAAGAATTAAACAGTTTCTCTACAGTGGGTTATTTTTAAGCACCAGTAATGCAGAGTCATTATCTGAGCAGCATGAGCTGTTGACTGGAATGGTTGCTTTTAAGAATTTAAGTCCCTTTTCTGAAAGAAATTGGTCCCAAGCTTTGCTCCCTGCTTTCAACTTTGAACATGTTACCTGGTAGGACTAAGAAGAGAAGGTTGAACATGTAACGGTTGGGTTTAAAAATGTGTGCTATGACCTGTTGAACATTGATTCCCAATTGTAAGTTGCATGACACACTTAAAAATCAGCATCTGCTGTGCACAACACAAGCAGAGGTACATTTAATGGGTCTCTCTTACATGTGAAGATATATGGATATAAAATGTATTTCAATCTTGTTTGGCCTGAGTATTCTCCCAGAATGTATGTTCTTACCTCAGCATGTATTGTAGTTGCTCAGTATTTGTATATGTTGCTAGAACTTAGACTGTATAAATAGTGAGGGATTTTTATATGTATGTTAAAGTCTTTTAAATAAATTGTACATACATATTACTCAGTATGTTTGCTGCATTTAACACCCACCTTATATATAATTCATTTGTAGTGGAAATGCGAGGGTTATTTATGAGTTGACCCCTGTTGTAGTATGGTATGCCCTGCCTCCAAGGGTGACATTGTACTGGTTCCTGGCAGCAGCAACCACACACAGAGGAGAGGTTGGTCCCTGCCCCACCTCACCAAGTGTTATAAGTAATAAAGTTAGACTTACCAGAGAGCTGGAGTCTGCTGCAGGGCAAGTGGTATTTACAGGAGGGAGCTTCCCTGGAGTCACCTGCTGCTGGCAGAATGCTGGCTCTGGAGTCCTGTGTTACCAGAGGCTAAGACACTAACACCCCACTGTTAGTGTTATGAGAAAGTCAGGCTCTGCTCCAGTAGCACCGTGGTGGGTTGACCCTGGCTGGATGCCAGGTGCCCACCAAGGCCACTCGATTGCTGCCCTCCTCAGCTGGACAGGGAAAATTAATGTGTGCCATGAGAAATAAAAACTAAATCTTAAAAACACCTTCCCTTCTTCCTGGGCTTAATTTTACTCCCTTTCTCTCCCTCCTTCTCCCCAGTGGTACAGGGGGATGGGGAATGGGGGTTGCAGTCAGTTCATTACTCCATGTCTCTGCTACTCCTTCTTTCTTGGGGGAGGACTCTTCACACTCTGCCCCCTGCTCCAGCACAGGGTCCCTCCCATGGGAGACAGCCCTCCATGAACTTCTCCAGCGTGAGCCCTTCCCACAGGCTGCAGTTCTTCACAAACTGCTCCAGTGTGGGTCCCTCCCATGGAGTGCAGTCCTGCAGGACCAGACTGCTCTAGTGTAGGTCCCCCATGGGATCACAAGTCCTGCCAGCAAACCCGCTGTGGCATGGGCTCCTCTCTCCATGGGTCCACGGGTCCTGCCAGGAGCGTGCTCCAGCACAGGCTTCCCACGGGGTCACAGCCTCTTTCAGGTGCCTCCGCCTGCTCCAGCGTGGGGGGTGTCTCCTCCCCCAGCAACCTCCATGGGCTGCAGGGGGACAGCCTGCCTCACCATGGTCTTCTCCTATGCCTGGACCACCTCCTCTTTCATCACTGACCTTCGTGTCTGCAGAGCTGTTTCACATCTCACTCCTCTCTCCACTACTGTTTCCACAGCAGGTTTTTGGA